TACAATTATTTATAATTAATTTACAATTGTTTACAATTTATCCGAAAGCGATCAGATAGATTGCGGGGGGCTGCGTGAACTTGGCCCCCCGAAATTTATTTTTGACTCGACGGCCGAGGGGGGTGTTTACAAATTCGGAGATTGGATTTACAATTATTTACAATTAATTTACAATTGTTTGCAATAATTTTGAAAACTTTTGCACAAAGTCGGGGGGCCAACTTCAAGTACGTGTTGTGAGCAACAAGCGTTATCGATATATTTATGTAATTCATATTTTCAATCAGTTTTAATTTTAATGCTCTAATCATTAACGCCAAATAATATCTCTTTGCATCGATAAGAATTCATTTTAAGAGGGCAGTGCCACTGTTTCTGTAACAGTAAAAATATGTAATTTACCATTTATCAATGTACTGATAAGTACAGATAACTGAATGATTTTTTAATATAATATATGTTAAGTAAGTAATTGTACCTAATACCTAATCTGATTTTCAAGTTAATGTTTTGAGTGAATCGTGCTCACGAATACTGCAAAACCGTTTTATTGCAAATAGAATCACTGTAGGTGAACACCCAATAACGAATTAGGGAATTGGTTTAAAAAAAAGTTAATTTTACAAAAAGACTGTTTATGGTTTAGGACATGCTATGGTAAATAAACTGCGTTTTATCATGGTATGTTAATTACGTTGGGAATTGGCCATTTAGCCTGAATAACACGGAATGTCTTAATTTTTATTTCTATAAATTTGGCTTAACTGCGTTTTCTTCAGGAGGGCAGAATGTTTAATTACTACTATTATTGTTGATATAATTATGTGACAGTTGTTCTTCCGGAAAAGTAGTTCAGAAAAAAATTACAGTTTGCTGTAATGTACATAATATTATTCATATTATGCAACTTTATTATTATTGTATTATTACTCAATTATCATATTATTTAATATACATTGACGTCAAAAACACAAAAAACAATACTATTATACGTTTTTATATGGATAGGTACAATTTTTACATAATATTATTATTATTATACTTGCGTTGGAGATATTTTTTCGTCTGAAACATTACCTGTTGTCAGGCTAATTTCCATAGCTCTCTGCCGATGTCCCAGCACTTTAAACTGAGGCAGGGACACTTCGTTGGACACGCCCACCGAGTTCGGTCCCTCATTCCACTTATACCGGATGTCTCTCATCGTATAACCAACTGGGGAAATCACAAATGCACACCTCTAACGTTTAGACCTGTCTTCGGAGCCCGAGACCCACCCATCACGTGTCGGGCACGCGCTCGACAGAATATCGAATGAGGTATATAATATGATGTTATCTCGTACATCATATTACTGTGATATTAAGCGTACCATAAATTAATATAATATATACAATGCAGGTACGTGTGTTGATTACATATCGTAAATCATACTACATCGATTGTACCGTAAAAATCCATACAATATTGTATACATTATTTATTATTATAATTATGCGTAATCACGCGATTATAAGTCGCGCGTGCGTGATGGTTAGGTCGCGTGTCAATAATCTACCTGTAGATAGGTTAATTTCGGTGGCCCTCTGCCTGTGCCCGAGAATTCGGAACTGCGGCAACTGCACCTCGTTGCTAATCCCGACCGATTTAAAACCACTTTTCCACTTGTACCGGATATCACGCATCGTGTAACCGACTGTGAATAAACGTGACAAAAAATGAAAAACCATCAGGACGCGCAGAACGGCGCGCGTCACTCACCGAAAGCCTTCGCAATACGAATGACGTTAGTGTGACGCGCGCGAAACTTTAAGATAAGTCTATACATAATATTATGATATTAATATATTGTTATTGTTATAATTATTATTAAATATATAATATAAAATATGTATGCGTATTATAAGCTTTGTCTTGTGTGTGTGTGTGAGGTGTGTGAAGTGTGTTGTATATTTTTAGGTGTGCAGATTTTAATAAAAGTTGTCATATTATAATATGATATATATACCGGGTGATCCGTTTGAAGTATAACACTCGTTAATTCAAAAACTTTTAACGTATTTGGAAATATTTTTCTCATAATTTTCGGTCGTTAAAAACAAGATCGTTCTAAAAATGTATATTTTTATTATTATTGTTTCTTAAATTTTTTATTTTGTTTAAAGATAACATGCATTTTTAATTCATTATTCCAGAGCAGAATATTGTTTGGAGTACTCGTTAATAAATAACGAATTTCAGACGAGTAGTTTATAAGGGTTATAATTTGAATTATCCCCGTAACTAACTCCCCGTCTGAAATTTGAGTTTTATAGATCGTAATACTCCTAATACTCATATATTCTGCTTTGAAGTATTAAATTAAAAGTGTATGTTGACATTCAAGAACAAAAATGATAAAGATAAAAAATAGTTAAAAATATTAATTTTTTTTCTAAAAATATTGTTTTGTAACGACTAAAAGTTATGTAAATGAAATATTTTCAAATACTTAAGTGTTTTCTTTAATAATGAATATCTTACTTTATAAATGGATCCCTCCATATTGATTATTGAGTAAAAACAAAACATATAATATTATGTGGTGCGTGCGCGATGTATATTATAAAATATCGGAGAAAAAAGTATAATAAAATCATATTCGCGTGATGGTTGCCTGCAAAAAATCGTTGATAATATGTAGTTATTATATAGCATAATTTCCATTTTTTTGTTTAATATACTTTAGGTATTTATATAGGTGCAATGTGCCTGGTCCTTCTCTCCTCGGGCACGTGGCTTAGTGCTGTCTGCGGGGTAGAAGGACACCGAAATTAACGAGAAAAAAATGTACAGATAGATTTTTTCCACCGTCGTTATCGTATGATAACGATCGATCAATCAATAATGTATAAAATAATAAAATATGCATCGCATAACATTGATACACATAGACACTTACAGCTCTCGATTTCGATGTGACACAGCTGTCGGTCCATCGGGAAGTACTGCAGGTTCATGGGACACGACGCGTTGATCGTCAAGCTATACACAACACGGAAACGTCATACATTGATATTATTAAAATCATTACAATATTACATAAAGGTATACAGGTACACACGCGCGTTGCGAAAATTATAATATTAAATTGACTAAAATATAACACTAAATATAGTATTTAGGTATGTCTCAATATATTATTTGGGAATACCGAAGATAGTTGTCACACATTTAAACATACTTAGATTAAACCTTCGAAAGATTTGAAAGTTTTAAACACAAGTGAAAACAAGCCCTTTGAAGTTTTTTGATAACAAACTCCAATCTAGTATTTGATAACAGATTAACTTTATGAGTTATCACTAGGACTGAGGACTGAGCTTAAATACAAATATTTGGCCTGGAAAACTTCAGCTAGTAGTAAATAAATGGCAAATATTTTATGCATTGGCGAAAAAAAATTACTCATAGACTTAAAGTTTACTTTTTCGTCTTATAATTCGTTAATGACTGCAATCAACTCACGGTGGAGATAAATATGATTATTTTCATAGTGATAATGTACAATAGGTACATATTTTAACATAAATACCATCTGGTTTCAGAATTATTAATATTGTGACAACCCACCCGTGTGACAACTAGCCCCGGTCTTCCTATATATCTATTCGTGACATATCGTGTTTTCGTACTCATCTGGGACCGAATATCGTATAGGAATATATAATATATATACATTATACATGTTCAAGTGTACCACACCAGGTATCGGGTAGGTAGGTAGAATAATTTAATATATATTACCTATACATGCTCGGTCCGTGTAGGTACGTATTATAATTCGATTATCGTAGTCCTGCCAATGCGCCCTAAACCGTTTCGTGTAATATAATAATAATATTAAACTCGTACGACTTGTACGTTGCTGTAGGCATTGTTATTCGACGAGTGGTGGGTACAAATAATGCAATACAATTATTATTATTGATATTATTAAATCGTTATTAAATACCGCCACTACGTCGTGCAGAGGCTATAGACACAACCAGTAGCACATAAGTGTATTTAAGGCGGAGAGTGGCATGAGCGATTGACCTCCTTTACAACCTCCCCCCCAACAGAAATTAAACCTTATTGTTGCTTATTGTAAAAATTATAAACTATAACCATTGAAACATGGAGTTATTTTTTCAGTTTTGTAAAAAAATATCACAATATTTGATATTTTTCATATCTAAAAAGACATTCCACTTTCATACATGTAATAAACGTTGTAAAGTGATAAAAACTAAATTAGTCAACTTATAAAAATATATAAAAATAAATAATTAATCTTCATTCATTCCTGTTGAACCGTAACATAACTAATAACGGTAGAGATATATTACTGTTCCGGCCCATTAGCTGTAACTAAGCAAAATAAACCAGAAGAAAAAATAATAAACTAAGCTTTTACCTAGGACATATCTGGATAAAGTTCCTATCAGTTATTATTCATAATAAATTTATACTAACTGAAATATTGAAATTCAATCGATTAAAAAAAATCAATATTTTGCAATTTAACCGGAAAATGAAATATTATGTCAGACTTCAAAGGCTAAAACTGGACCCCTTAGCTCTGTACTTACCGTACCACGTCGTACTATAAAATCGCCGTACATATATTATATTATAATATTATCGTTTCAAACATTAACAAAAACATGATAACGAAATAACATAAACAAAAAAGTTACCTACGTAGAATGATGACCGCCACGATAAGTACTACGCATATATTATATAGTCGCTATGTTAAAGTGCTACTGAAAATTACAATAGATATCAATAATATGATATAGATAATAACTTTCAAAGTAACTGGCTATATAATATACTATCATTTATATGAATTACGACAGTTGTAACTTTGTATAAAACGATATGCGCCGTTTTTGGAATTTGGAAATCGGAAATAACAATTTTATGATGTAGGTATTTATGTAATATTTATCATAAAAAAAGTTCAAAGCCGATTACTATCCGTGTGATTTCGTTTATAGTCTGGATATCCTATCACCTATGTCCTACACACAACTTCAAACGAGGACATGATTTCCTAAATTACTCAGGTACCTACTGTGGATTACAGTCATGCGACAAATCATTGATTTCCATCCAATACCTCCTAATTGGTAAAACCTACTTTCTAACACTTCTAGGCTCCATATAACTTTCAATTGATCTCCTCAGTTTGAGAACTTTATCTTTAACTTTATCTCACTTTATCCGATCATTTATGTTTCAACAAACTATTGGTATATAATGAACATGTTCAACCGGGTAAGAATAAATAGAAAATGAAAACAAAAAAAATTAGTAACAATCTTAAATATAATATATTAAAATACAAATTTCTTATTCTGATTCAAAAGTATATGAAACGAATATCAGAATAATATGTTATAAGACGAGCATCGAGCTTTGGAAAACAATGCAAAGTGCATCAAAATCCTAGTCCTACTTGTAAATAATAAGCTATTTGTCTGAAATGTTATTTGTATAGATCGAAATGCGCCGTATTATATTCTGCTGTAGAATATAAAATAAAAAATGTACGTTGTCACTTAAAAGAGTGAAAAACTTAAAAATGATGACAAAAAAAATAGTGGAAATATTTTTGTTTTCAAAAATGTTGTTTCGTAACGACATAAAATTATGTAAAATAAATATTTTCAAAAACGTTAGTAAAGTTTCTGAAATAATAAGTGTCTTATGTTAAATAGAATACCCCGTATCTTTTTACTCCGTTGTTTATTTTACACTCGTACCGTAGGTCCACATTCATCAATAAAGGCAAAATATTAATTGTTATTATTTAAGTGTCGTAACATTTACCGAATGCTCCGCGTTATGCTCCCCGAATGGTGTATCCGGATGAATTCGTTGCTGGTGGTCGCTATGTGGAAGTACGACTGTTTCTCATTGACGAAGAACGTGTCGGGCACCCAAATGTTCTTGATGAACTCCGATCCCACGGACAGTGTCTCGACGCCAGGCCGTTTGGTGAACGCCAACCGGGGATCGGTCCAGAACTGTCTGAAGTAGAAATCGAGCGTGAAGTCCTACACATGCGACGTGGAAAAAAAAACAACAAAAACGATTAATTTTATCGCACCGATCCGCCAAATACAATAACAAGTCGAGTATTTCAAACCTTTCGCGTAACGTTTTACACAGGGATGGATTTAGCTAGTGGAGGGGGAGGGGGTGTACAGTTGAGTAATTATTCAACGGTAAACTCAGAAAAATATATTTAATTAAAACTTAAAAGTATAAAAAAATTTGTATGATTTGAAACTTTATTTTTCAATTCGAAATTAAATAGAAAAAAATAATATGTTTTTTATTTTATACATTGTTCTGTATGGAATTTGAAGCAAACTTGAATCTCAAAATTGAAGTACTTAATGATTTTGTCAAAATAAAATCATGACAATTTTCAGGCATTCATTTTAATCATTAATTATTAACATGGTTATTTTATTACATATTACTTAATTTAAGTCACATTGATGTTTAGGTGACTTCTATTCTGTTAAAGCAACGCCATGTGATAATATAACTTACTCGATTTGAGTGATTTGTTTTGCTATGTTGCGCAAGTTAGTTAAATAAGTAGCAAGTTGAACATATGTATTAAATGTTGTTTGATAAATAAAAAATGTATTGTTATGTTTATTCATTTGGTGTCACCACATACCTAAATCCGTCCCTGGTTTTGGATGTAAATGAATCTGTGAAACGTTAATAATTTATAATATTGTAAGACGTGGTCGATAAATCAAACTTTTGTATTGTAATAATTGTAACAATATTATGTAAGAGATCAGATCGTTTTGAAATAATATTATCAAAAAACAGATAGGTGGTATTGTTTTAGATGGTTTCAAATACTCGACGTATTAATGTAAGTATTACTATTAACTATATAATTTGTTGGTATTGCATTTTGATGATGAAAATGAAATTTAAATAATAATGAAAATAGTTTTAATTTTATAATGAAATTATAATAATTTACTCGAAGTGTACTATACTATATTATAATAATTTACACGTAGGTAGTAATTAGTATGAGTTTTAACGTAGACTAGGTATATTATTATCATTGTAATTATTGTCCGTAAACACATAAAATGAAAATGTGTATACACAACATGCAGCTAGCAAGCCTAAATCCAAAATCGCACGCCAAGGACTTGCGTAAGTGCGTTCGGTAAAATGCCAGTTTTTTCTCTCATAAAGTACAGTGATATTCAAACGTTGCGTGTCATGCAATCTATCTAACATGCGTTGAACATGCAATTTTAATTGACCGTGCACCACTTGTCGGCTAGCACGGAACATCCATAGTACAATAATATATTAGAATGAAAGCTAAATGGTGTGAAAACGTTTAATAAAATAATAATATGTATACGGAGGGGAAAACATATTTAGTAATCCACCGTTCATTGCTATAATTATTATTATCTAAATATTTTCACCAGTCTAATTCTAATCCACATTTACGTAGCCAGGTGGGAGGGGTTATCGCAGGAAGGGTTCGTGGGCGTTGAAAACTATACGGCCTCGGTTATAACTCTAACGGCTTTTTCGTTTTACTTTCTCGGCTTATGCTTGTCTAAACGATGCTATCATCATGTTATATATTTAAGGGGATATGTTTGCTTGCAAGGAAATTCACCTCTCCATGATAAAAGGTTTTGTAATCACTACAGTTCAGTCAGACAGTACAGTAGGTAGTGCAACGATCGAAAATGCCTAAGCAAAACCAGCTACTGTCGCTGTAGGCATTCATCAATATTATGGTTAAGTTTTCAATACAATTATAAATATAATATTATTAGCGATTAAATCGTTGTTTTTCTTTGATAGAAATTTTTTCTCCCTACGGTTTATTTTGTTATATAGATTTATATTCAATTTTAATTCTACAAAATAAAAAAAAAAAATAGAAAATTGCTAATTGCAAATTATCAAATTGATATGAACAATGGGTCGAAAATTGAAGTCCCTAAAAAGAACGTTTCAAAAATTGAAACAACTAAAATACATTTTACTATAAAAACAGTAACGTAAATTCCATAAATGTCACCATTTCTGTATCTTACATTATGTTTGCACTTTGCAATAACCGTAAAAATAAAGTCACCGAAATAAACACAATATTTCATAATCTGTGATAGTTATTTGTTACTTTTTTATTAATAGCATAAAAAGTAATTGTACCTAACCTACATTATTTTTCGTCTTTAATTAATAATGTTGGTAAATTGTAGTATTGGTAAATTAAAGCGACATTAATTTTGACTTGTTGATGGTGATCTATTTTAATATTATGCTCATGTATATAATTGTAAAGGAAAAATGATAATTTGGAAAACCCTTCTCACACACGATTCCTGGCCACGTATCTGCTTCTAATGTAATATAATGTTAATATGTCTTTTAATGGTAGAGCGAAATATTTTTGAAATTTTTAACGAGATAAAAAGCACTTTATTCTATAACAATAATAATATGTATAAATATTATCATTGGGTAATAATAATGAATTATTAAAAAAATCGAATTCTTGTTTTTACCCTTAATACTAGAGAATATCTAAATATTGTTTAGTACTTAGTTTCTACCCATGTAGCAATGCAGACCTCGGTGAACTATTTTGAAGCACGTTACAGTCAAAAATATTTTCATAATTTGCTATTTACATTTAAAAGTACCTACATATTTGTTCTCATTATTATAAACCGGAAGAATAAAATATATAAGGTCAACATAATATAATTCAGCCAAATTGCGTATGTTACAGCAGGTGGGATCTGTAACCACTGCGCAAGCCGAATGAACTCATTGAAATTCAAACGCTGAAACGGATGTGACCTTTGCCGAAAAAAGAAAACGATTTTTGGATGGTTTTCCGAAAAAAAAACGAAAAAGGTTTGCCCTTTTCGCCATCTTTCTTTACATTTTGTGGTATACTTTATTGGCTCGCTCCGGCGGTGTTAACGCAATGCGGCGGACGACAATATAATAAAGGTCGATGCACATAAACTTTGTTTAAAATAATATCACAATATTATAATATATTATGTACTTTTGAGTATAATAACTATTATACAGCTCAGCATAGTATAGGTACATCATATATATGATTATACACTGTTATTTCCGGGGAATGACCAAATATTATTATGTTATGCTCCATTGTAGAACAGTGCAGAGACTTATCTGCGGCTCCCGGAAACGAGGCTGAGTGGATGAATGTATTACGTGGGGAGGGGGCGGGAGAAAATAAAAATATGAATTTGTTTCATTTACCGAGCCCCCCTCCGATGCCCTTCCCGCGTCTAGACGGGTATTCCACAGCCCTTGCCCCCCGACTAACCAAAATTATATACCACACATACATACATACATACACACAAATGGCAGTTATAATATTATAATATTATTATAATACACTGCGTGGTGATCTATTTAACCGATTGCACTAAATTTCGAAGTCGAGAATTTGTATTTTTGAAGTAAACGTGAAGTGAACAGTAAAAGTAGGAAGATGATGACAAATTGGGCAAACGAATTTACATTTTGAAAAAACCCTTCAAAAATTGTATAGTGATTTTTATAATATTTTAAGCTCGTTACATAAAATTTGTTATTTATAACTAAACAGCTTTTGTCATCAATAGCTCGATATAAAACAGTAAAAAACAGGTTGTTTTCTAATTTTTGAATGTAGGTCTATGCAATTTTATTTACGCATTATAATTATGTGGAACTAACAGGATTCAAAATCAATTCAGTGAACTGGCTTAAGAAAATATAGGGATTAAGAGAGTTATATAATTTTAAACTATCGATGATGATAGATATTTTATGAAGATTTGTATCTAAAAAATATAAACGTATCCTACAGTTATAAAATTTAATAAAATATTATTCCATGTTATTGTTTACTTTTTTTTCTAATGTCAATTAGAGGGACTCTTTTATTGTAGGGTTTATTTCGAACTTTGATTTAATAAAAGTTTGTGACTATTAAGCTCTAGTGACGCTCATAATTGTAGATCTGGGAACTTTGGTTTTTTTTTCTAGGACTCTAGTTTCTATATCTATAAATTTTAATTACGACCATGGTTGGTGCAAAGGGACATGATGCCATAGAAATTAACTATCTACCCGAAACAATCACTAAACATTTTAATTTTAATTTCATTCAATTCATTCCAAATGCTAATTAATAATTGATAAAGAAAAAAGGAACCTACCAATTATTCGATGTTTATTACATTTTATATTTTACATTTGTAGAAAAGTATTGCGATCCCGGTTATGAAATTAAAAACAAATAATACATAGGTAGTGGGCTGTTTTTAAAAACCATTTATTGTATTTATTTGTAATTATATTTTAACGACATATAAAGTGTTCAAAAAATGTTTTCAAACTAGATAAAAATAAAATCCCACAAAACATGACTTGGAAAATCAGAGTAGCCAGTTAAGTGGATCACTCTCTGCATGTGTGTATATAATATATGTATATATTATGTAGTGTGTATAATGTATATGTTGATTTATAATCCTATTCATTAATTATGCATTCGGACTTTTTGTTTTTCCACTTTATTTATGTTCGTTGCCGTTTTGTAACGTCGTGTATACTTTATATTATACATATCATATATATATATGTATTATGTATACACAATATACATATACATAAACTTTTTACTACTGACGGACATTCAATTTTGAATAACAAGTATTGTACCATGTATATATATATATAATAAGGATTTAAGGGGGTTTAGAAAAACCAAATCAAAATACAAAAATTCAATGTATAAATATATAATATGATAAAAACCAACATCGAAACACCAAAAACAATAATATCGTAATATTAAATATTTATATGTAAATAGATTCACTACTTCACAAAAGTATAATATTGCACAAATTTTACTCTTTCAAACGGTCTGTTACTGTTTAACAGTATTGTGTTAAACGCGCATGTGACATATAATAAAGGAATATTCGAAATTCGATGCTCA